ATAGGAGAGAGGGGCGAGAGAGAGAAAGTGGGGAGAGAAGAGAAAAGATATAGAAGCTAAAATTACTAAAATGCCCATATCACATCACAACACTCAATTTTGTGAATGAAAATGGATATAAGTGGTAAAGTGAGAAAATTTCAGCAATTTATTTTGAGATTTTTGAAGTTCAGTGAAAAAATTTCAGTTTCAGGAGGTAAAGTGAGACCGAGAGTCCGTTTCAGGTGGTAAAATAATAATTCACCTATTTTAAAATATCTGTTGAAGTACATATATTTATGAGATGTTGAAGTACCACATAAGGCATCAAATTTAAATTTGATGTTTGAATTTTGCCATCTCCAAGGGAGATGCTCTAAGGTAAGGTAATTGTGATGTTTTGACTAGACATTGTTTTCTCCTTGAACTTACATTTTTTATGCCTAGTGAATCAATTTACATGCATTGAACTTAGATACTTAATCGGTAGTGAGTATTCACGTCAACAAATTATCTCACATCCTTAATCTGAGACACTCGTCACCCTCTCTCATTCAATCAATGTCTCTAAGTAAGTTATTTTGTCAAATGATACGTTATAAATAAAGGTTTTTCGTGACAACGAGCCAATTTCATTGGAAATGCATCCATGTGATACTTGGAACATACTGTTAGTTGTTAACCTCAATGTTGGGCATGATTTAATTCATAAAGAACCAAAATTGACATTTATTCAACCTGGAAAGAAAACCCAAAAATAAAAATAAAAAAAGGCTGGAAAAGTTCCGTACTGAACGGTTTGAGGCACAAAATACCGGTTAACGGTATAAATTTTGGCCTTACTAAAAGTTTGGTATGATTAATAAGTTGGCCTGTCTCCCAAACCTAACGGATTCATACTATTCCTCAGGTCTGCTTCATAGGTTGGTGAGGAATGTTATATACGATACAATATCGGACGGCTGGAAATTCAGGGTTCAATTCGCGTTTCTCTTTCCATCATTTAAACACGAAACGCATGATCAATCAAACGGCCCAGAACGATGTTTGTGAAATAGACAGCAAGCAAGCAGCAGGCAAGAAATGTCGGTAGCCACAAACACATGCAGGGCTGCTAGCCGTGCACGCAGCACAGACAATCCAGTGGCTCCACAGCCACAAAACATAAGCTGGTGGGCCCCACAAAACACAGCTTCTGCAATTCTCCACCAGTTACTTTACTTGGCCTTCTCTCTATCTTCCCAGAATCAGTCCATAATCTTACAAACAAACAGTCATCACTCCAATAGTTGTTGGTGAAGGGTTTAAGAGGTTTTTCGAAAACTAAGCTGTTGGTTTGTGCTTTCTTGGAAAGCTTTGATTGTTGAAGAAGGAGCTTTTGGAGAGAAAGGGAAGATGAAAATTCAGTGTGATGTGTGCGAGAAGGCTCCGGCGACAGTGATTTGTTGCGCAGATGAGGCGGCGCTGTGCGCCAAATGTGACGTTGAAGTGCATGCAGCAAACAAGCTTGCAAGCAAGCACCAGAGGCTTCTCCTTCAGTGTCTCTCCAAGTTGAACAAGCTCCCTAGATGTGACATTTGCCAAGTAATTTCACTCCCCACGTTCTTTGTATTGTGATTTTGATTTTCCTTTTCTGTCGGACTTATTAGTTTACCTAATGTTTTAAAAGGCGAAGCGTAGAGACGAGGCGTTTTTTGTCCGCTATGTGAGGCATAAGCCTTGAAGCAGTGGGGCGTAAGCCTTTTGAACATTAATTTAATTTAACAAAAAAAATTATAAATAATACAATATAGATAAATTGTACTACTAATTCTTATTTAGCCAACATATTCTATCAAATATAAGTACTAATTATCATTTAAGCATAATAATCAATCCCAAAACATAAAATATTTATT